ACATTCTGGTCGGCAAATCCAAAAGATAGGACGGAGAAATCATCACGGATCATGAGATAGACGACGGAGCTCATTCTGGCCGATGGCGCGCAAGCAATATGGCCGACAAAACCAAATCACGGCATAGGCGCGCCAACCGGTTGGAAAACTCTTCTTTGAGCTTAACTAACACTTTTATGCAGGAAGAAACGAAAAGGAACGAGCCAAACTTCACATGGCCAAGGAAACTCCTTCCCGGAGCCGACTTGACCATTTTGTGAAGGAAGTCTCAATCCGCTCGTACAAATGCTCCCAAACTTCACCAGAGGCCATAAAATACCAGGTTGGTCGATGAAATTTCAATATAGGTCATGAAATTTTTGACGGTTTGTTCTGTAGTTCACAGCACCACATTTTGGCCGACCGAATATACCAATCTCGGCCAAAACACAAACCGGCGGAAACCAAGGCCTGAAATTAAAAACTCACCGACCAATATTGCCTAAAGAAGTGTAGAATGACCCAAACCGGAACTGATCTTCATTATAAATTGGTCGACATTTGGTAACATCATCCTAAACCTTTTTCTTTTCAATTTTTCATTTGAACTTCATGTTATGCCTCTCTTAATCCGATTTGATTTCACCGGGACGGTGCAAGTTAAGTCTGGGGGGATTACTAACAATGTTTGTTCATTTTGGCGTTTTCATTTGCATTTTTTCCCTTTCATCGAGTCGTTTTTATTGAGTCAAAATTTTTGTCGAGAATCATGACCTTATCTTGGATCTAACCATGGTTGTACTAATGTTTAAGTGACCATTGAGCAGTTCTTGGCAATACATCTTACCACAGGTGCACTATGAGTTGATCGATCTACCAAAAACGCCTACATCTCTAAAGACTTGAGAAGGATCCATCTTTGACTCCGCCCTTAATGAACTTAATCTTCTCAGCTAGGGGCTTGGCATACAAATGGCATGATTCCTCATCCTCTCCATCAAATGAAAAAGTCTTAGTGAGTTCGTGCTTCCCTCTCTCTCCCCTTCAAATTAAAAGAAAAAGCGTAAGGTCCAAATAACCGGGGATTCGGTGGCAAACACCATCAATACTCGCGTCTATGGAAGGCCTATGAATCCAAGCAACCGGGGATTCGGTGGCAAACACCATCAATACTCGCGTCTGTGGAAGATCCAAGCAAAACCTCTATAATAAAGAGAAGGAGTTGAATAAAAAAATACTTCGCTACCCTAAAAAAGGGATGAATCAACTCAAAGAAGTGAGAAGAGAGAGAGGAGAAACATGGAGTAAAAAGACAAGTGCCAAAACAAGGGGATGAAAGAATCTAAAAGCCGGCTGATCGATACTCCCTAGTTGAGACCACACCTTTAGAAATGAAAGGAGTCAAGGGTGGCGAATTGGATTGTCCAAGGAGAGGTGGACCGCTTTGGGAAAATCGCAAAACTCATGGTATGTACTTTGTTCTTAATTCAAAATTTGCCAATGCTGTTTCATGTGGATTACTAAAGCATAAGTCAATTTGGATTTCCAAAAGATTTGAGAGTTCTCACGTTTTCAAACCTCTTTTCCTGCTTAGTTTGCTTGGGGACAAGCAAAAGGCTAAGTCTGGGGGAGTTGATATCACCATATTTTACATGATTTTACTATATAATTACTATGTTTTCAAACGGTTTTTGCAAGATTCTTTGCCTTTAGAGGTAGTTTTCTTGTATTTGTGGGATTTGAAGTCTTTGTAGGTGAAAATCAAAAAGGATGCAAAAAGGAGTAAAAGAGCCCTAAATCAAGATCCATGCAAGTTTCCAAGTCAAGAAGATCATTTTATCTCCAAGTGTTAGTTCTCGCTGCGCGCAGAACGAAGCTTCGGAAGTTTGGCCGCGCGCGGAGGAGTTCCCGACGTCCAAAAGTTACGATCTTGATATGGAAAGATAGATACTTGAGTCATGCATCACGTCGAAGTGGAATGAAGCCATTTGGATCAACTATGAGGCCTAGACTTATTTTCTACCGAGACATGTCCGGTAAGCGAGTAAACGAAGCCCATGGAGGATTTGGAGTGTCTAATGGCCCGAGCAGCAGCGCCAAAGGCCTTGATCGAATAGAGAAGAGGCCTGGCTAATGTTTGGAGCTTTCCTTGGTACAATGTCGGCCCATACACGACGTGGAGAAGAAGGCTTTGCTCACGGGAAACTTTCCTTTTCCGGCATGAAGAAAACCCTACGCGACTTCGCCCATATATACATGTTTTTAGCCGCTGAAGAAGAGAGTCCGAAAATTATCAAAGAGTGTACGTGTGAGAAGAGAGTTCAGAGGAGAGAAGCCCTAGGAGATCGTCCAAGAAGAAGGAGGCGCCGCTCAACTCTTGTTCTTTCTTTTTCATTGTTTCCATTTCTATAAACTTGATTTAAGAGTTTTCAAGGGAGAATCCGACTTTGTTCATCAATAGAGAAGCTTTCTTCATCCCTTTATCTCTTTTAATACTTGCATAATGTTTACAATCATGCTTTGCTTGCTTGTTTGCATCATGGCCGAGTAGATCTCTTAGTTAGGCCGAGGAGATCTATGGTGGCCGTGATGATTTGATTGTGTTGCAACTTATTGGGATTTATCTTATGGATCTTCACCTTTACTTGAGCTTAATGCATGATTACTCTACCGTACATCTAGTAATCTGATCTTAGAGAAATAGAACCACGACAGTGCTGAATCTAGATCTCAAAACTAGTATTTGGTGAGCAATAGATCATAGCCAACGAAAGCTGAGTTATGGTTTATTGTGAACAATTGAATCTTGAACCTTTAATGCATGTTTGCAATTCTAATAGCCAACGAAAGCTGAGTATATTAGGTTGTTTTAAACATAGTGGTTGGAGCCACGACAGTGGAAAGACCATACACTAGTGATTCATGTTCAAGACGGCTCTACACACATCCCATGCAACTATCTTTTCATCATTGCTCCATATGATTGTCCTTTGCCTAACTCTTGTTTTAAATTGTTTACAACTCACTCACATCTCTTTTGTTTTTTCTCATTCTAGGTCCCAAAACCACCTCATATTGCGAGCTAGCTACAAACCAATCTCACAAGGTGTTAAGCGAGAACACTTCCTCCTCGTGTTCGACCCCGACTACAACACGGCTGTGCACTTGCAGCTCATTAGTTGGGTTTATAAATTGTGAAAATTTGAGGCAATCTAAACCCGCCATCAAGCTTTCTGGCGCCGTTGCCGGGGAGGAGTTGCTTTTCCTTCACACCTCTTGATTGATTTCAAGACTAGCTCATCTCATCTTTCACTTTTCTTTGTTTTTGTTTTTCATAAAATCTTAAAACTCATAAAAATTTTACTTAACCTCTTTCTTTGTGTGTTTCTAAGGTGCATGACAAGAAGGTCCAATCCAAATACAACCATTGAAGAAGATCTTGACATTGACCAACTTGAGCGCACACTTAGGCGACTAAGGAGAGAAAGAATGAATCCAGGCGGAGAAGGCGCGCCAAATAGGCCAAACAACCCGCCCGACCAAGAGAGGAGAGCCAATGATCCTCCTAATCCAGCAGAAGCTAGAGCTGACCAGCCAGCACCGGCCAGAGACGTTCCTCAGCCCAATCCGAACGCGCCCGATGCAGCTGAGCCGCTACAGCCACCTCTTAACCCGCCGCGACCACCACCGGCGTTTGCAAATGGACATCATCGTCACGGTGACAACCAAGGGATGCCTCAAGACCAACCTCAAGCACCTCCAAGGAGAGTGCCAAACGCGCAGCATCCAAGGCACCAAACTATGGGAGACTTTGATTCTTCCGATGCTTTCTTTATGGATCGGAATCCAATCCGACCGCCTCTACCTCCAAGGAACGATTTTGAGATCAAACCGCAGATCATTGCCTTGGTGAAACAAAACCAATTCCTTGGTGATCTAAGCAGCAAGTTTGGGTCTCTCTCTACTCACGTTCAAAAGCTTGAGGTGCAAATCGCTCAAACAGCCGAGGCGGCCAAGAAACAAAATGAGGTAAACACTCAAAAATTTTGTAGTGTTGTCTCATCTATAGATGGCACAATTGTTCCTACACTATCTCAAGGGGAAGAAGAAGAAAATGAGCCTAAGGAGAGGCACAAACCGGAGAGATACAGTTGGGAATCAAGAAGAGCTTACAAGAGAAGACTTGAAGGCAAGCCACTACAAAAACAAGAAGATCCGGGGAAGTTTGTGATAACTTCAAGTATCAATGGCATTCAACTCCACGATTGCCTATGTGATACTGGTGCTAATGTTAATCTAATGTCTCTTGCACTTGCAAAAGATTTGGGATTCAAGGAATTCAAGAGCCCCAAGATAAGAGTCGAGTTCGCGGATCTATCGTGCATGGAACCTATGGAATGCTTGAAGATGTCATGATGGAAATAGGGGGTCGATCGGTCCCAACTGACTTTCAAGTCATGATTTGGGAAGGCTCAAAGAGGAATCAACTGATTCTTGGAACCCCATTCCTTGCTACAGCTGGAGCGGTCCTAAACTACTTTGGGAATCATCTATCTTTTGGCCACATCCGGCAAGATATCTTTTTCCCAAGTGTAAATTTCAGGTCAGTGCCAAGTGCGACCAAGCTACCACCAGAAGAAGCCACTCTCATACCTAAGAAAGAAGCTATGCTGCATGGAGAAAGAAGAGAGAGTGAGCGCTACCCAAAACCAAAGGAGAAGAAGAAAACATTGGAGCCGAGGCATGAAAATGTCTTTAAGGATATCAACTCCATCTTACTTCCAACCTTTGATGAATATGGAGCTGAAGAGGAGACTAATGGTGCACCTAATCTCTTTCACAAGATAAGAATCTTTACACCAAAAGATTCGGAGCTTAAAGGTGACCAATCCATTGAAGAGAAGCTTGAGAGAACTATGAAGCTTTTCCCCAAGGCATTGGTTTTCAAAGATGATGTGAGAGATGACTATGGCGCGACAACACCACCACAAGAAGCCACTGAACCGGAGAATGGAGAAGCTAAAGGGATCCTTTGCCCTTCAGCCACTCTTCACCACGATTGAAAGAAAGAAAAGGAGTCAAGCTAAATGACTTAAAACAAAAGCGCTTTATGGGAGGCAACCCATATGGTTTTTAACTATTATTTCTATTTTGCAGGAGTTTTTCAAAAATCAAACAAAAATACAAAAATATTTTCTTAGGATGAAGACCCAAAGGAGACCAAACAATGGAAGTGTCCCACCCAATGAGCCCACCCTTGTACAAGGCGTTTCTCTTCAAAAGGTAAGTAAACTCTCACCTAGTATTCATTTCTAATCACTCTTGATCTTCACTTGAAAAATCGTTTAAACCATTGCACTTTATCAAATATATTCATGGTTTAACTTGATTTACTTTTGATGATTGGAAAGAATACATAATCACTTGTCAAAACTCATTTCGCTCACTGAAATTACAAGAGATTGAACTATAGTTTGAAATTTGGATCATTGACCAAGACCAAATAAGAATTTATAGTTTGTGCTTTAATCTCTTGGATTGTGAACTTCAAGTTGGTCACTTGAGGATCACAATCTGAGAAACCATCTAATCATGATTTCAAGTGTTTTGCAAGGAGTTAACATTTGACAGGAAGGAGAAATAGAGCAAACCTATCAACCACCTAAAACCAACATGCATATGGCGGCCAAAGGGAGGTTAAAAGGAGATACAGGCCATCACACGAAACAAGGCGGCCACCACTTGGGAATGACACAGGAGGGTTATTAAAAAAATTTGGTCGAAGAAAAATCCCAATTCTCTCGGCCATACGCGCACAAGGAGAACCACTCGGCCAACTCCTAAACGGCGTGACCGAAGTCCACCAAACTTCACAGGCGACCATAAAATCACATTTGGTCGGCAAATCCAAAAGATAGGACGGAGAAATCATCACGGATCATGAGATAGACGACGGAGCTCATTCTGGCCGATGGCGCGCAAGCAATATGGCCGACAAACCAAATCACGGCATAGGCGCGCCAACCGGTTGGAAAACTCTTCTTTGAGCTTAACTAACACTTTTATGCAGGAAGAAACGAAAAGGAACGAGCCAAACTTCAATGGCCAAGGAAACTCCTTCCCGGAGCCGACTTGACCATTTTGTGAAGGAAGTCTCAATCCGCTCGTACAAATGCTCCCAAACTTCACCAGAGGCCATAAAATACCAGGTTGGTCGATGAAATTTCAATATAGGTCATGAAATTTTTGACGGTTTGTTCTGTAGTTCACAGCACCACATTTTGGCCGACCGAATATACCAATCTCGGCCAAAACACAAACCGGCGGAAACCAAGGCCTGAAATTAAAAACTCACCGACCAATATTGCCTAAAGAAGTGTAGAATGACCCAAACCGGAACTGATCTTCATTATAAATTGGTCGACATTTGGTAACATCATCCTAAACCTTTTTCTTTTCAATTTTTCATTTGAACTTCATGTTATGCCTCTCTTAATCCGATTTGATTTCACCGGGACGGTGCAAGTTAAGTCTGGGGGGATTACTAACAATGTTTGTTCATTTTGGCGTTTTCATTTGCATTTTTTCCCTTTATCGAGTCGTTTTTATTGAGTCAAAATTTTTGTCGAGAATCATGACCTTATCTTGGATCTAACCATGGTTGTACTAATGTTTAAGTGACCATTGAGCAGTTCTTGGCAATACATCTTACCACAGGTGCACTATGAGTTGATCGATCTACCAAAAACGCCTACATCTCTAAAGACTTGAGAAGGATCCATCTTTGACTCCGCCCTTAATGAACTTAATCTTCTCAGCTAGGGGCTTGGCATACAAATGGCATGATTCCTCATCCTCTCCATCAAATGAAAAAGTCTTAGTGAGTTCGTGCTTCCCTCTCTCTCCCCTTCAAATTTAAAGAAAAAGCGTAAGGTCCAAGTAACCGGGGATTCGGTGGCAAACACCATCAATACTCGCGTCTATGGAAGGCCTATGAATCCAAGCAACCGGGGATTCGGTGGCAAACACCATCAATACTCGCGTCTGTGGAAGATCCAAGCAAAACCTCTATAATAAAGAGAAGGAGTTGAATAAAAAAATACTTCGCTACCCTAAAAAAGGGATGAATCAACTCAAAGAAGTGAGAAGAGAGAGAGGAGAAACATGGAGTAAAAAGACAAGTGCCAAAACAAGGGGATGAAAGAGTCTAAAAGCCGGCTGATCGATACTCCCTAGTTGAGACCACACCTTTAGAAATGAAAGGAGTCAAGGGTGGCGAATTGGATTGTCCAAGGAGAGGTGGACCGCTTTGGGAAAATCGCAAAACTCATGGTATGTACTTTGTTCTTAATTCAAAATTTGCCAATGCTGTTTCATGTGGATTACTAAAGCATAAGTCAATTTGGATTTCCAAAAGATTTGAGAGTTCTCACGTTTTCAAACCTCTTTTCCTGCTTAGTTTGCTTGGGGACAAGCAAAAGGCTAAGTCTGGGGGAGTTGATATCACCATATTTTACATGATTTTACTATATAACTACTATGTTTTCAAACGGTTTTTGCAAGATTCTTTGCCTTTAGAGGTAGTTTTCTTGTATTTGTGGGATTTGAAGTCTTTGTAGGTGAAACCATCAAAAAGGATGCAAAAAGGAGTAAAAGAGCCCTAAATCAAGATCCATGCAAGTTTCCAAGTCAAGAAGATCATTTTATCTCCAAGTGTTAGTTCTCGCTAGCGCGCAGAACGAAGCTTCGGAAGTTTGGCCGCGCGCGGAGGAGTTCCCGACGTCCAAAAGTTACGATCTTGATATGGAAAGATAGATACTTGAGTCATGCATCACGTCGAAGTGGAATGAAGCCATTTGGATCAACTATGAGGCCGGAACTTATTTTCTACCGAGACATGTCCGGTAAGCGAGTAAACGAAGCCCATGGAGGATTTGGAGTGTCTAATGGCCCGAGCAGCAGCGCCAAAGGCCTTGATCGAATAGAGAAGAGGCCTGGCTAATGTTTGGAGCTTTCCTTGGTACAATGTCGGCCCATACACGACGTGGAGAAGAAGGCTTTGCTCACGGGAAACTTTCCTTTTCCGGCATGAAGAAAACCCTACGCGACTTCGCCCATATATACATGTTTTTAGCCGCTGAAGAAGAGAGTCCGAAAATTATCAAAGAGTGTACGTGTGAGAAGAGAGTTCAGAGGAGAGAAGCCCTAGGAGATCGTCCAAGAAGAAGGAGGCGCCGCTCAACTCTTGTTCTTTCTTTTTCATTGTTTCCATTTCTATAAACTTGATTTAAGAGTTTTCAAGGGAGAATCCGACTTTGTTCATCAATAGAGAAGCTTTCTTCATCCCTTTATCTCTTTTAATACTTGCATAATGCTTTCAATCATGCTTTGCTTGCTTGTTTGCATCATGGCCGAGTAGATCTCTTAGTTAGGCCGAGGAGATCTATGGTGGCCGTGATGATTTGATTGTGTTGCAACTTATTGGGATTTATCTTATGGATCTTCACCTTTACTTGAGCTTAATGCATGATTACTCTACCGTACATCTAGTAATCTGATCTTAGAGAAATAGAACCACGACAGTGCTGAATCTAGATCTCAAAACTAGTATTTGGTGAGCAATAGATCATAGCCAACGAAAGCTGAGTTATGGTTCATTGTGAACAATTGAATCTTGATCACCTTTAATGCATGTTTGCAATTCTAATAGCCAACGAAAGCTGAGTATATTAGGTTGTTTTAAACATAGTGGTTGGAGCCACGACAGTGGAAAGACCATACACTAGTGATTCATGTTCAAGACGGCTCTACACACATCCCATGCAACTATCTTTTCATCATTGCTCCATATGATTGTCCTTTGCCTAACTCTTGTTTTAAATTGTTTACAACCTCACTCACATCTCTTTTGTTTTTTCTCATTCTAGGTCCAAAACCATCTCATATTGCGAGCTAGCTACAAACCAATCTCACAAGGTGTTAAGCGAGAACACTTCCTCCTCGTGTTCGACCCCGACTACAACACGGCTGTGCACTTGCAGCTCATTAGTTGGGTTTATAAATTGTGAAAATTTGAGGCAATCTAAACCCGCCATCAAGCTTTCATGATGTGGATTCTTAATTTTATTTCATGATGTGGATTGATAGTATTGGTCATTCAAAATTCGGAAATTTTCTTAATCCTGAAAACGACTATGTGGACCAGTAAGATCGCATATTTAAAATCATATGTAGACGCTCTCAGACGCTTATAGCCTCAACTTTTATATAGTATAGATTTCTAAATTAGGAAACTTTCTAGAAAAATAAAAAAGAAATAAATTACATAATTTTATATGATGATGTGGATTGATAGCATTGGACTATTGGTCGTTTAAAATTCGGAAATTTTCTTAATCAGGAAAATGCCTATATGG